CCTGGGGATGCTTACGACCCAGTTCCAAAGGTCCAATGGCCACGCCCCTTGTGGTCACGTGATCCAATTTCGGGCAGCCGATGATCCGTACTTACAACCGTCTGCATTGTCCCGTGGCCGCGTTCTGCGACGTTTCTGCCCAAAACCAACATTTGCATCCAGTTTTCAGCAAAACTAGACAACGGTGAACAACCAGTTCATTTAATGACCACCACAAAAAAAAATTTGTAAAATCAGGTCAGACACGTGGGTGACCTGTTTTATGACCATCGCAAGTTATGACCATAATGGGGAGTTATAAGTCGAGGACCACCTGTACAAATAAGGTTGGTTGGGCTTTGAATTGAGGTACGTGACCCTAACACCATTGTGTTAATGATGGCTACTCTGTTTCTTCTGCTTTTCTTGACCACAGGAGACGACTTGCTGCTCTTCGGCTGTAATATGAGGTGGCCCATGCCAAATGGCCAGCATATCAGCCTCCAGTCCGGCCAGGTCGCCTTCCGCCGTGGTCCTCTCCTTCCCTCCAGCCGGGCATCGTTCCCGCTTCAGCCCAGCCGCCTCAGAAGCATCAAAGCTGCTGCTGCTGCTCCCGTTTGACCTCCGCTTTCCTCCCGTAGCTTCTTGGAGGCCGTCTGACCAGGGCTCGGGGTCATCGCCCACTATCACGTTGACCTTGACATGTGAACGCCCACTTGGTTTTCTCGCTCAAGCGGTGGGAACTGTTTCCAGCGGAAACCTGGCTTCTACCCCAATCTAGGCAACCAGGCCAGAATGTTGAAATGGGGGACTCCCTCTGGATGGGATGGTGGGCCCTCCCTCCCCCAAAACTGCTCCAGGGGCCTCTGAGACATGCAGGCCCCTTCCCCCCCACGGAAGCCCCAGATCAGACCCTGCCAGACCCAAAATGGGGGCCCAGCACTACACAGAGGCTGCTTAGTCCCTGCAGTGCTGGCTCCTCCATTTTAATCCCATTTTCCCCAAAGGAACTCGGGAAGCAGCTCCAGGGGCTCCTGGGGGCCCGGAAATGACCACAGCTCCATTGCAGTGGCCGCCATTTCCAGAGAGAGGTAGAAATGCTCTTTTGGTGCTGCCAGAAGATGGACTCTTCAACCCAGAGGGGGCACATGGGGTGGCCAGGAAGCAGGCGAAGGAGGAGCGGAAGCCCAGCGTTGCGCGTCTCCTACTTGAAAGCCATTACCGCTGTGCAGGGGCCAATCCAGAGTGACGGGCTGAACTGGGACCTTGTTCTGTTCGTCACAAGCTGACTGGTGCAGCAAAGAGTGGACTTCAGGTGCTTTTCATCTGCGCTCCCCCCCCCAACCACCACCACGTGCCCCAATGCTCGACAGGCCGGATCCCAGGAACTCCCCCCTTCCAGCATTTCCTTTCAGACAACACGGATCTCCTCCTCCGTTTTGCTGCCCTTCCAAAGAGCCCCCCCCGGACTCAAATGTCCAGCTGCCCTAATGACAGAACATACCCCGTTGCAATCAGGCAGTGGCCAAGCGCAGGCGGTCCCCACAGAGTGCCGCTCCTCTGGGGCCCCATTCAGGCTGGGCTGAGGCAAGGTCCTCGCGGGCCCAGCTCCCCCCCGGGCAGGGGTCTCGGAAGCAGCCCCCACAGCAACGTTGCCTCGCAGCCTTGCCGCAGGTGCCGCCCTGCTTCCTCTTTCAACTGACCTTCCTTTCCGCAGCAGCTGGATCCTGCCCAGCAGCTGCATTCATGCCAACCGGGGATTTCCAAGGCTATCCTGGCACCGGGAAGGTTGGGCAAACCCCCAAACTCAGGCAGCTCCACAATCAGGTGCCTGACGTGCCCCCCGCCCAGGCGGCTGCCCTTCCGGGCGTTCCCTCCCAGCTGCAAAGGGTCAGCCACAGGGCTGGAGCCCAGAAGTGCCACTTCCAGCCCCCGCCCCACAGATGCCGGCTCACCTGGGCTTTCGAACCGGCTCTCTGGGATCTTGCCGGTTGGTCTGGCCGCTCCGGGGTTCCTCTTTCCCTCCAGCTGCGGCCTCCAGACTCGACCCGGGCTTGGGGCTCTGTCCGTGGCCCCTGCCGTCCCCACGATGGTCCCTCTCGTCCTGAGGCCTCACCCTCCTGACCTCCGGGGGGAAGGCCAGGGGGGCAGCCATGGGAACGGGCTGGCTCTCGGCCTGCAGGCCCTCCTCCCTCCTGGCTCGGACCCGCTGCTTGTTCAGGGCGATGGTCTTCACCGAGAGCTTGTCTTCCTCCTGCGCCGCCAAAATGGGGGGTGACGGGATGAACCGGGGGAGGTCTTTCGGGGGTCCTTTCTGGAAATTGCTGGCAGGCCAGGGCGGCAGGTCCGGTTCAACAGCAGGCGGTCTGGCCCCCGAGGAGCCCCTCCCCTGCTTGCCGGGATCGCTCTGGGCGGGAGGAAGGGGGGCCAGCGAGAGGAAGGAGGGCTTGGGGGAGGGCTCCTCGCAGTAAATGTGGCTCCCGTTGATGCAGAGCGAGGACCCGGAGGAGGGGGGGTCCTTGGGGGGCCTCAGGCCCTGCAGGGCTTCTGGCAGCAGGTTGATCTGGCCCACCTCATCGCTGAAGGCCCTCTTGTGGGTCAGCTGTGGGGAGGGCAGAAAGTCTCTTCCTGGGAGGGAAGGAAGGAGCAAAGACGTGGTCAGCCCAGCTGCTCTGCCCCACAAAGGCAAAAAACGGGGGGAATCCCCTTCGTTTTGAGTACCACCTTTTCCAACTCACACACTTTATTGAAAATCAGAAGGTTTTGTGGCCCACATCTTACGCCTTAATTGGAAAAAGTGCTACCAAACCTTTTGGGGCTTTTCCCCCGAAAAAACTGGGTAATTCACCCAGCTTAAAAGTTGGGTGGTGCTAAAATGACCGTCAGACCCTCCGTATCCGGGTGGGGGGCTCACTCCCAATCCCCTGCCTTGCTCCAGAAGGGCCACAAATGTCTCTCCTCTTGCGCCCAGGCCTCCCGAAAAGCCCCCCAGAGGCAAAGCCCCCTCCTCCCCAAGAGGAGACCCAGAGGGGGCCACCTGCCAGATGCTGCAACCGGGCAGCCGTCCGTTCCTTCCCCCTGGGGGGCACCGAGAGCAGCAACTCAGCCCTCTGACTCAAAAGGGCAAAAGGAGCAGCATCTGCGGGAGGGGGGCAGGGGGGGCATCCTAGAATCCCAGGGTCTTTCCCAAGGCCAGCTGGCACAGCCCCCCCCCGGCTTACTTACCGGCAGGGTCGGTGGAGAGGCTGCTGTGCCGGCTGGGCGAGGGGCCCCCCTCGGCGCTGCCCAGGCCCCCCAGGCTGCTGGCAGAGGAGAGGGTGCTGGCGGAGCCCAGGGAGGTGCTGGAGCCGGTCAGGGAGGAGCGGTGCAGCTGGCCCCTGAAGAAGAAGCCCCCCCGGGCCTTCTCCTTGGGGGGCCCCGGGCGCAGGTCCTCGTCCAGGGCCCCGCTGCTGCTGGGCACAATGGCGGAGGAGGAGTCCAGGTCGTAGCGGTGCTTGCCCGTCATCTTGTCCTTCAGCCGCCGGAAGGGCGAGCGCGGCTTCTCCTTGACAGACAGGTCGAACATGCTGGCCGTCAGGGTGGGGCGCGTGAACTGCAGGCTCAGCTGGATCTCGCCCCGCTCCTTCTCCTTCTTGCCCGGCTTGGAGTGGAGCTTGTACCACCTGGGGGGACACAGGAGGGAGGGCAGGGCATCAACCCAGAGACCCCCACAAGGGGAGGGGGACGTCCTCACGACCCCTCACTCCCAGCTGCCCTTCCCCGAAGCAGCCCCCCTGGCCCTAACGCTGTCCGGCCCCTTGGCAGGGACGTCTGAACAGGGCTGTGGAGTCGGAGTCGGAGTAAATTTTGGGTACCTGGAGTCGGAGTCAGAGTCGGCAAACAATGCACCGACTCCGACTCCTACTAAATTTAGATTGGAATTTTAAAAAAAGCAAGTTTAAATGTCCCAATTCACAAAAAGTTATAATTAATGACTTCTCTACTGTAAGAATAAAGACCAATGCATGCAGTGCCTCACGTAACCGCAAAACAAACGTTAAGTGACCGTGAAGAAGCATGCTTTTCATGTGCTTCACTATATGGCAGAGGAGTCGGAGAGTCGGAGTCGGAAGTACAAAAAACTGAGGAGTCGGAACATTTATCTACCGACTCCACAGCCCTGCGGTCTGAAAACTGCCACTCCAGGGGCACGAGGTTGGGGAGTGCCCTGCTCTCTGCCACCCTCTCCTGGGCTTCTCTTCCTGGCACTTGCCCTGATCAGGATTCGCATGGAGGGCCCTCTGTTCTGCTCCGGTACACCCCCCACCCCACCCCCCCATAAAGAGGCAGGCCGGGCCCTCCTGGGCTGCTCTGGACAGCCTCTGCCCCCGTCTCAGCAGGGCTCTGCCCAGGGTGTGTGTGTGGGGGGTGGTTCTTCTTCCTTTCCACCAAGAAAAGCCAGCAGCTGCCCCACCCACACAGCTGGATGGCCACAGCTGCCAGGCTGCAATCTACCATCCTCCCACAAAGGGTCCACTCTAACTAAGCTCTGGGCCCCCCACCCTTGCAGGCTCCCCTGTGAGACGGCAGAGACCCTGCCTGGTCCCACCTTTGCCCGTGTGCCAACTCTCGTAAAATGTCCCCTCTGTGCCCGTGAAACAGGTGCCAAGGAACGGATGCAATGGTGCCCTAGAACGACCTCGGGGGCAACAGCAGGAATACGGGCAGGGCCAGAGGCTCCGGAGAGACCCTCCCTTGTTTCCTGGGCAGTAAAGGGGAGGGGGGGGAGGAGAGAAATGGACTTTCAGACTTGCAAGACCCTGTTAATGTAACCTTAGGACAGTGTTTCTCAACCTTGACCATTTTAAGGCATGTGGACTTCAACTCCCAGAATTCCACAGCCAGCAATGCTGGCTGTGGAATTCTGGGAGTTGAAGTCCACATGCCTTAAAATGGTCAAGGTTGAGAAACACTGCCTTAGGATAAAACAGCTCCTGGGGCTGAAGTCTGAAAGGCCACTTCTCCTCCCCTTCCCCTCCCCAGCCCCCCAGACGAGGGAGGGTCTCTTCGGTGCCTCCGGCTCTGCCCACATTCCTGCCGAGGGCCTGGCAGCTCCCATGCCTGCTCCCGGCTGTCTTTCTCCGCCCTGCACCAGGGTGGGCGACTGGCCCCTTGCTGACCTGTGGACTTCAACTCCCAGAATTCCTGAGCCAGCCAAACTGCTCAGCCAGCAATTCTTCCCACAAGGTGATACGGAAGACAACATGTGTAATATACCATTTTGGAGTCCAGATTAAATGACCCCACAGCTTAGCAAAGGACGCTTTCGGACAGGCTCGGCCCTCCTCTTCCGCCCTTCCTCATGCAAGGCACCAGCCAGCCTTCGCCAGCAAACCCAGGCAAGAAGGTTGGCAGAGAAGCTGCCACAGAAACACAGAAGGCAGAGATGGAAATGACCACCAGGCCGCCTGGTCCTTAAGGAGGGGGCGCTGCAGATCTTGACCCCCACCCTTTAAACAAAGCAGGGCACAACTGCAGCAGCCCCCCAATTTATATAGTTGCCCATCTCCAAGGTCCCTTCCAACATCATCATCATCATCATCATCATCATCATCATTATTATTATTATGGATCATCGCACAGTCAGCCAGATGTTCAGACTGGATTTGGCATTTTGTCTACCTATCGAGTCCTTCCCAAGTGCCTGGGATAGGCAGATGTGGATGTTTGATGGTATTACAGATATCGTTGTTATTATTATTATTATTATTATTATTATTATTACTACTACTACTACTACTACTACTACTACTACTACTACTACTACTACTACTACTATTACTATTACCATTACCATCTTTAAGATCTCATCAGAACCGTAAATGCCATTAGCACAATCATAACTACAGGAACTGAACTGCATAGCAAGGAAACCCAAGGAAAACGTCGCAGTCAGAGGCACAGCCAGGAGTCAGGTCCCTTCACACATTCAGGGCCCCAGGCCCAGAGCCAGGTCTTTAGGGCATTACTTAAGGCCAGCAGGATCAGGGGGCCCCTAATCGCCAGAAGGAGAATATTCCAGAAGGTGGGCACTGTGGCAGCAAAGGCCCATCTGCCAGGCCTAGCAATCCCTGGCCGGTGGGAGCCGAGCGTGCCCACCCTGCCAGACCAGGCAGGATGGGCAGAAACAACTGGGGAGAGACCCCAGTCCCATGAGTAGAGTACCCCAGCCCCAAATCATAAGGGCTTCGCAGCTGACAGCTAGCTGGAAGCAGGCAGGGAACCAATGCAGCTGGCAGAGGCGTCCCATGCCTTGAAATCCGAGACCATTCCCTGCGCCTGCAGCCCTGCTCTGCGCCAGTGGAAGCTCTGGGACGCACCTCAAGGACGACCCCAGGCAGGTCACCCTTGAATTTTGCTTCCGTAGACTGTATTATATTTGCATAAACCGTTGCTTGCTCTTCTGCCTCATGTTCTCTGAGGCAGCATAGATGGGAAAGGTCCTCTAAAAGGTTGAGCTGAGCCGTGTGTGTGTGTGTGTGTGTGTGTGTGTTGTGGGCCAAGGACGAGAGGGAGGAAGGGAGCCCCAGCTGCCTCCCAGCCATGGGGCCAAGGAGGTCTTCCTCCCCGGGCAGCCTGCAGGCGTCCTGCCTGTGCTTGGCAATGCAGCCCAGCTTCCCCAGCTCATCCCTGCCAGCCCATTTCCAGAGAAATGTTTATTTGGAGAAGCTTCAGGAAGGTTTGGAAGCACTGCGGAGCACATGACTCACTGGAGGCCAGTCAACATCACACTTTTTCCAAAATACCCCAGCCCACAGCGAAGGAAGGAGAGAACAGATCCAGGGCAATCCAGGCAGGCCTTCCTCCAAAGCCCGGGCAGAGCCACTGGGCCAGTTTGCTGCTGCTCCTCTGTTCGCTAGAACATCTGGCAGGTTGGCAGGGCCAAAGGGCCCACGAGAAAGGCTGCGGGGCCATGTTGTGGGGCCCCACAGATCTGGGCCTCGAATGGCCCCCTCTACCTGGCAAAGAATCTGCCTGCAATTTCCAGCTTCTCTGCTCTGTTCCTTTTGGGGAGGGGCCTGCTGGCTCAGCCGCTGAATAGTCCCCCCCCCCGACAGCCCAGAAGGGGCTCAGCGGAAGATGCTGCTGCCAAGGGCCCACAAGCCTCCCCACAGCTTCCGACAGGCCTGCACGTTGCTCCCCCGATACTGTCCAAAGCAGATGAGTGACAGACGAGCAAGGCAGAAGTGGGTCCCTCTGCCCCAGTGACAGGAGAGGCCCCGTTCCCTCTGGGTGCCACTCGTGGGGTTCCAACCCTTCCAGCTGCTACTCTCCTCCTTGCCCTACGTCCGGGAGGCCCCGTTCGGCTTCTCTTTCTGGAACCAGCAGAGCCAATTCCCACCCGCCGGCTTCAGCCCTGGAATCCTGAATGCGCTGCCCGCCTTGGGAGACGTTGCCGGAGGTGCCTGGCAGGCGTGGCAGCAGAGGGCTCCCTCCCAGCTCAGGCTTTTCTCTTCTCGCCAGTGGGGTACCAGCCAGGCATCCAACAGTGCCATGCATGAAAGCAGGCAAAAGCCAGCTGTTCTTCTACACTCAGAGGGCAACTCCTCAGCACCGCACAACTTTGGACACGGGTTATTCTGGGATTCCCAGGGCCCCCTTGGGGGACACCCCTGCCCCAAGGCTTAGTCTGAGCCAGCACTCTTCTCAGCTGCCACAGAACAAACCAGCCCCTCCCCATCCCCGGGATGCACTGACCGACCTGCTCCAACATGTATCTTACAATATTCCAGTTAAACCCAAAGCCGATAAACACACATTTCGGCAGAACAGCAGCAAAACCCGAGCCCACAAATACATTCCTTAGTGCAGGGGTAGGCAACCTTGGCTCTTTTATGACTGGTGGACTTCAACTCCCAGAATTCCTGAGCCAGCCATGCTGAGGGGAAAGGGAGGGGTTTCCAAGCTGAGCCATGCTGGCTCAGGAATTCTGGGAGTTGAAGTCCACCAGTCATAAAGCGGCCTAGACCAGAGGTAGGCAACCTTGGCTCTTTTATGACTCGTGGACTTCAACTCCCAGAATTCCTGAGCCAGCCTGGCTCAGCTTGGAAACCTCTCCCTCTCCCCTTAGCATAGCTGGCTCAGGAATTCTGGGAGTTGAAGTCCACGGGTCGTAAAAGAGCCAAGGTTGCCTACCCCTGCCTTAGTGTCTCAACATCAACCCTGGGAAAGACTAAAAACTCCACAAAGCAATTCCAAAAGCACCACTTTATTTCCCAAACGTCAGGCAAGAAAACGCCAAGCGTTTTTCTGGGAAAGGTGCCCTAAGTGGAAAGCACCGGTTTGGGGTCTCTGCCCAGAATGGGGTGGGAATTGGGGGCTCTCTTTGGGGTGGATGGGAGGGGGTAGGGAGGGGGCACCGAGGGCCAAGCCAGGCAGGGGTTTTTAGGGCAATATGAGCAGCTCAGAAGCCTCCCAGAAACCCAGCTGGCGTCACCCGTGTTCTGTGAGCATGGTGGTTCTCCCCCCAGGAGGGGCTGTTCCAAGAGGGAGTCTTCAAAGGAAGCCCCATACAGAATATACAGCAGTAGTCTATTCTCACGCTAACAAAGGTAGGACTGAAAGGTCTTGTGCCGAGTGTGGTTGTTTTCTTGCATTTTATGACCTAGCTAGGAGTTGGGAG